AACACCTAGGAGATCTAAAGGATTCCAGTCTACAACTGAGGAGATACTTGAAATCTGAGGGGTTTGACATTGAGCAGAGACACATGATTGTTAGAAGCTGCACAACTGTGCATGTGCAGAATTACTGTTTCCCATAGATTTCTTTGCTTCCCCACTGACTTTCTGATGGGGAAGAAAAGGGACGCTACAAAAGTGGTCATATGACCCTCCACAGCAACATGTTTCAGGTGCCCCAGGCAGCTGGTAGAGAGGTAAATCACTGTGGGGCAGGAGGCGGGACTGGGAAAGACAGGGCTGGTTCCTCCTATCTGCGTCAGGCTCCCAGCTGCTAGTCCCAGCTGGGCTAAGGAGGACAAGACTTCCCCTTCCCCTGCACGACATCCAGGGTTGGGTCAAACCCACCCCAGATTTCTCCCCCGCCTGTAGGAAGCTCTGCAAACTGCCCCTCCCTTTTCTTCTTACACCCATCATTCCTCAGCTGCAGGGGAAGAGATGACTGTAGGGGGAGCTGCTCTCCCATCTGCCCAGCCCACGTGCATCCAGACCCCCTCATATCCATACCCTCCCACCGAGCATCCTCCCTCCCCCAACACACACACCCAGAACCCGACAAGCCCCATCTCCCTGCACCTGGACCACTCCAACAAGCCACCTGGACCCCCCCCACACCAAGCCCCAACCAGCTGCACCTAGATCCCCCCTCTCACTCTCCCACACCCAGACCCCCCCACTGAGCCCCAACCACTTTCACCTGGACCCCCTGCATAGTCCCATTACCATTGCACTCAGAACCCCCCCAACAAGCCCCTGTTTATCCAGATCCCCCACTGAGCCACCCACACCCAGATTGCCCCACACAGAACCCTCTCAACCCACACCTGGATCCCCCACACGAAGCCCTTCCACACTTGGATCCTGCCTTGCTGAGCCTGCCTGCCCACACCTGGTGCACCTGGCATGGAGGGTCGGGCCCTGGGGTGTTTCTGGGGCAGGCCCCGTCCTTGTGCTGTCAGGGTTGGGTACAGCCTCACTGCTGAATCCATGTCCTGGGTAGGGAAGCTGCACAGTGATCTCCCACCTCTGTGTAACCAGTGGCCTGTGCTCCCCAGGCTGGAGTCTCCACATTTATTTGACAAATAAAATTTGCAGAACTTTAACTTAGCAAAGTTGCCCAAAACCTGATGTTGCTGAGCTGCTCCTGCCTATACCCTACCAAGTGCTTAAGGTGTGACCCTGTCAATTTAGGCACCCCCACTCTTTTTTTTTTTTTCCATCTGAGGGCTTTCGGAGTAAGGCACCTACATTTACCCACAGGGCTCAGGAAGAAACCTGGTTAATTTAGGTACCTTCCCTTTCCCTCGGGGCTCTATGGGTCTGCGGGACCTTTTTTTCCAGTAAAAGAGCCTTACACAGCTGTGCTTTAAACTTCATTTATTAGCAACACACGCAGAATACATATGCCAAGTAAATCTATGCTTTGTTAGCAACAGGACATTCTTTTTTTCAACTTTAGTGGTGAACTCCCTGAGTTTCACCCACGGCTGGTCAAGGCTAATTTAATATGGGAGTGAGTTATGTCCCAGGCCTACACTAAGCCCTGGCAGGATTCTCAAAAAGGCATTCTTCTGCCAGTCGTGCCTACAGGGCCTGATCTGATAGACATTAACAGCACACACCTAAGCCACGGAAGATAATAGGGGTAGAACACTCACCTGGGATGTGGGAGACCCAGTTTTAAATCCTCACTCTGCCTGATTTGGAGAAGGGACTAGCACTCATGTTTCCTCTGGTCCAGTGCAGTGTCCTAACCCTTGGGCTAGCTTTTGTATTCTGGGATGAGTCTCTCTTCAGCTGAAGCTGTTCCATATTTGTTGGACTTGCAATTTGAAAGTGGGTCTCCCAGGTAACTCTCTAACCCAGTAGCTAGTACATTCTTACTCCTTCTGGCTCTTAGATTGTGATAATGTCACCCCCTAGCCGCCTTTTTGTTAAGCTAAATAGATTGAGGTCCTTGAGTTTGTCACTGTAAAGCATGTTTTCTAATCCTTCTTGTGGCTTTTCTCTGAACCATCTCCAATTTATCAACATCATTCTTGAAGTGTGGACACCAGAGCAGTGGCACTGGTGATTACACCAGTGCCAAATACAGAGGTTATATTACCTCCCTAATCATACTTGAGATTCCCCTGGCTATCTATCCAAGGATTGCATTAGCCCTCTCACTGGCAGATCATGTTCAGCTGATTATTCACCATGACCCTAAGTCTTTTTCAAAGTCACTGCATCCTGGGTTAGTCTTCCATTCTGTAAGCATGGCCTACATTCTTTGTTCCTAGTTGTATGACCTTACATTATGACCTTATTACCATAGTGAAATTCATATTTTTTTGCTTATGTCCAGTTTACTAAATGATCTAGATCACTCTGTAGCAGTGGTCTGCCCGCTTCATCATTTACCACTCATTCAATCTTTGTGTCATGTGCAAATTTTATCAGAAATCGTTTTCTTCCAGGACACTGATTAAAAAATTAAATAGAATGGGAACAAGAACCAATCCCTGTGGGACCTCATTAGAAACATATCCACTTGATGATGATGATTCCCCATTTATAATTACAGTTTGAGACCCGTTGGATAATTTTTAATCTACTTCAATGTGCAACATTGATGTTGTATCAGTCTAGTTTCTTAATCAAAATGCTGTGTGGTACCAAATCAAATGCCTTTAATAAATCTGAGTGTATTACAATTAATTGTATTACATTATCAACCGAACTTGTAATCACAATAAAAAAGGTGTCAAGTTGGTTTGACAAGTTAGTTATTGATATTCATTATATTACCCTCTATTAATTCTTTATTAATCAAAAGCTATATCAACTGCTCCATTATCCTGTCATTGATGTCAATGACAGGCCTATTAATTCTCCTTTTCCCTTTTTAAATATTGGCACAACATTAGTTTCTTCCAGGCCTCTGAAATTTCCCCAGTGTTCCAAGACTTATTAAAAATCAACATTAATGGTCTAGAGACCTTCACTGCCAGCTCTTTTTAAATGCTTGGATAAAAATTATCTGGGTACATTACTTACAAAAAGGATACACCAAAGAGGATAAGACACAATGTTCTGTTGCTTGTTTTCCAAATTAAGTCAAGATCCTTTATGACTTTCACATAGTGGCAAGGTATTGTCATTACTGTCCAATTGTGGTATTCATTAAGTGTATATAATCAGAAAATCTCCAATAATAAACTGCATTTCCTTTCCCCTTTAAATTACAGCTTTATATAAAATATGCAACAGAACAAAATAAACATAAAATGTCCCTAAAATTGTTTACTTATAATCTCATTAGTGAAATAAGACTAGCTTTTAAGAAGCGCAAAGATCTTAACACTGAATAAAGAACTTTTTTTATTAGGACTGAGCCATGCTTTGTAGAGAACAACCAATAAGAGAGAGAGAGATGTGAATTTATATCGAGGGGTGGATTTCTTCATTTTGTATAATTAAGCAAATAACTTGAAGAGGAAACCAAAATAAAAAAGGCTCAATTATTCTTTCACTTCTTAATCACTACTAACTGCCATAAATTCAAAGAAAAGTTTTGATAGGGTTGTAGGGCATTTTTTTCCCCAATGTCAAATTTATAGTTAAAGCAATTTCAGAGGGACCCTTGGGTTCTCCTGACTCAAATCCTAGGATAGTGCTGTGCTGTAGGTGGAAAGATTAGAGAACACAAAACATTATTACCGTGGGCTAGTATTTAGACAACTTGGGAAAATATAAAGTCTTAATCCAATCCTCTTTTAAGATGGACACAGATATAGGATATAAAGGAGAAACACATCTCAAGCTGTGATCTTGTCAATCTCTCAAATTTAGCGGTGTTGAGCCTCAACAATAACATACATAGAGGAGTTATACAAAGAAAACCCCTCTGTGGCAGGATTTGTTGGTGATGAGTCAACATGGGGGTACTCATGCCGCTGAGTCAACATTGAACTTAATGCCCCAGGCATGATGTGATGGGACACTGGTCTCGTAGAAGTGTGGCTGAAGTACTAAGTTCTTGTACTCATTTAAGGGTCACATTACTTTATGCAGTAGTAATTTGAATCCAAAAATCTGATGCCCGGAACTATGAACCTGCCATCTTCACCAAACAATTTTGAATGTGCAAAATTTAGAGACTGCTTTCAAAAATTTTACCCCAAGTGTGAACTGCTGAAATGATGAAGTAACTAATATGTACTTTAACTGCTTTAAGAGGGGGGAAAAATTGTCGACAATTGTAATAAAGAATCCAAGGGACAGAGCCTCAGCTAGTGTAAATTGGTGCCACTTCATAGAAGTCAATGGAACAACACCAATTTACATTAGCAGATGCTCTGGCCCTGGTACTGTTATATGAATTACTATATGTAATTTCAGATAAAATAAGAAATTACAACTTAATCTGGAATATGTACTGATCTGAATCTTTTCTGAAGCTCAAAAAAGTGAAAAGTGCTATGTAAATGCCATTAATCTCCAAAGTTTAGTGTATATATGTGAATAAATACTACTAATTAATCACTAAACCACTATAAGTATTAATATTTACATTTTATATATGGGGAAGAGGCAGAGAGTCGAACTGACTTGCCCAGTCTGGTAGACCAGCAATTCCAGCTTAGGAATTCCGGGTGCTGAGCTCAGTCCCCATGATCAATTTTTAAAATATACATCTTTGGGCACCTCTGCATTTGCTTATGGTGGTATTAGAAATGCAAGCCCCAAATAACCTGAAGTATGCTGGCTGGAATCCAGAAAGGTTCAGTAAATATAACAAGATTGCCTGACCTTGTCAGTCCAGCGACCTGATTTCCAGACTGGAGTTTTGGATATTAGAGAAGCATGTGAACTTTTGGGTGCTCATCCAAACTAAATTTCTGAACCTTTTGAATCTATCTTATCTCTGTTGATAATTGGCATATTTTATTTTGTGCTTGCAGCGGTTGCAGGGCAAATCATTTCCTAAACATGAGAAGTGGGGTCTACTACAAACGGGCAGTGGTGTAAGTATGGATGAACAAGTCAGTGGAGACTGTGATGATGAGGATGGTTGTGGAGGATCAGGAAGCGGGGAAGTGAAGAGAATCCTGCAAATTGCTGACTGTAAGTCCCATGATTCTACCGCCACTTATTTAAGTTCTTTAAGAGTGAATTAGTGTATTAGCCTCTAAGGAATACTACTGGTCTACTTTGGAGATGATTATGGTAAACTTATCTAAGCAAAGTAGTTGAGCATCATGAATTAGAACATGTACAAAATAAGACTGAAAATTTTCTAAAGATAGGAATTTATATCTACATGTTACAGGTATTGCAATGAACTTTATCCTAATCTGCATCTTCTTAATGTGACTGGTGTCTGTTGGCACATTTGGTGTTCTGCAAATCATGATACCTGTCCAATGATGTTTTAATCCAACTAAATAGTGGTAGAATGTCTCGGCCATGATGAATTACTGGTTTAACATAATAAATAAAATTTTCAGCTGAACAGAGAAATCTTTCAGATCTTCCCTGGGAACATGGGAGAAAACAATGTACAAACACATTGTGGTAAGTGGATTCGTCCATTACTATTATATTAAATTGACTATAGCCAGTGGCGTCTCATAAATAACAGGATAAGGTAATGGCATGCTGCTATTGAACCATAGGTATGTGGTGGTTTTGTGATCATGCTAAATCTTTCAAAACATTCAATACTAATGGAAAAGAAAATAATAAAGTGGTTACTGTAAAACCCCAAGGTGCTGTTGGCCACCTGATGTTATACTTTGTATGTATTTTAAATCTTCTAATAGACTTTTGAAATATAATTTTTCTAAGTATCGCGGCTCCCACTGGCCATAGTTCGCTGTCCCAGGCCAATGGGGGCTGCAGGAAGTGGCGCGGGATGAGGGATGTGCTAGCTGCCACTTCCCGCTGTCCCCATTGGCCTGCAGCAGTGAACCGCCAGTGGGAACCGCAATCGGCCGAACCTGTGGACACGGCAGGTAAACAAACTGGCCTGGCCTGCCAGGGTGCTTGGCCTGGCGAGCCGCATGCCAAAGGTTGCCGATCCCTGATGTAGAGCAAGGAAAATGGAAAGATGGGTCATATTTCTGTTTCTCTGTGGTTTAATTCCCACTCTTCCTATATAGTGATAAATGGATGAAGCAAACTAAAAAGCAGCTGAATGACACAGAGTTTGACTGAGGGACCTAATAGTTGAAATATTGTAATATGAGGTAGGACTGTCGTGTTGCAGTTTTAAACACATTCTCTGGTTGCAGAGTAATTTTAAGCATCTGTTTATTTAATAACTATTTTAATCATCCTTATTTTTTTTGTATTTAGTAATTTAATCTCCCCACAGACTCCCATGTAAAGAAAGAGAATAATTTCTCTATCTTACAATAATGCCAAGATGCCCTCACTAAAAACAAGCAATATTGTGTAAGCTGCTGACAAACATATAGTAAGACACAGTCCCTGCCCTGAAAAGCTTACAATCTAAATAGACAAGGCAAACAAAATATGAGACAATAGAAGAAGGAATATCCTCATTTCACAGATCACGGGGGGGAGGGGGGGAGTAAACATTTTTCTCCTGATTGTTCCTTTCTAAGGGTCAGTCAATGTGTCCTGTATATGAGTACGTGTGCGTCTTTGTGTGTATATTTCTTCCAAGATAAAACTGTAACTCAGAGGTCGGCAACGTTTGGCACGCGGCTCACCAGGGTAAGCACCCTGGCAGGCCGGGCCAGTTTATTTACCTGCTGATGCGGCAGGTTCGGCCAATCAAGGCCCCCACTGGCCGCGGTTCACCGTCCCGGGCTAATGGGGGCAGCGGGAAGCGGCGCAGGAGAGCGATGTGCTGGCCGCGGAGGGCCGTGGAGGGCAACAAAAATGTATAGGGGTCTGGAGCGCATGATTTATGAGGAGAGGCTGACAGAACTGGGATTGTTTAGTCTCCAGAAGAGAAGAATGAGGGGGGATTTGATAGCAGCCTTCAACTACCTGAAGGGGGGTTCCAAAGAGGATGGAACTCGGCTGTTCTCAATGGTGGCAGATGACAGAACAAGGAGCAATGGTCTCAAGTTGCAGTGGGGGAGGTCTAGGTTGGATATTAGGAAACATTATTTCACTAGGAGGGTGGTGAAGCACTGGAATGCGTTACCTAGGGAGGTGGTGGAGTCTCCTTCCTTGGAGGTTTTTAAGGCCCGGCTTGACAAAGCCCTGGCTGGGATGATTTAGTTGGGAATTGGTCCTGCTTTGAGCAGGGGGTTGGACTAGATGACCTCCTGAGGTCCCTTCCAACCCTGATATTCTATGATTCTATGATTCTATGACCCCTGCTCTAACTCTTTGTTAACTTACATCCCCAGAAATTGAAGGTGACTTTATTTTCCACTTAATGTTAGATGCAAAAAACTTCTTCATTAAATGTCAAAGACTGACACGTGAATGTTGATGGACTTTAGAGTGCCCATGAAGAGATGAAAGGCAAAAAATATATCCGTTTCAGAAATGAAAACATCTATCTTTATATCAGTGCTCACGGTATATACACAATGCTGTATGTAATGTTTTTGACAAACCGTTGTCTGCTTTTCCAAAGATTAAATAATTAATCCATGAATCAAACTCCATATGTTTAGGCCCTACAATTGTTTTAACTTCTTTGCTGTCTCATACAAAGCTTAAAAATAGTAGGTCGGTGTATTTATTTCAAGGATACTACCAATTTTTAAATTAATAAAATTAAACAGTGGCATCAAGCCTTGACACTTCATTTGCTAGTTCTATTCTGCAGTAACCCTAGAGCTCACAGTAACCCTAGGACTGTTTCCAGCATCACGGTGAATTTCCTCCTCAACTGGAGACTTGGACAGATAACAATAAACAATTATACTTATCACCAATATATTTATTTCAATCTACTTTGTACAGCAGTTTGAAACATGAACTAATCTTTATATCACCCTTGTAAAGTAGACAATAGCATCTGTCAAAACTCTCATGTTATAAGTTTCTCAGTGGAATCACTAATTTTCTGAAGTACCAGAGGGTTAGCCGTGTTAGTCTGGATCTCTAAAAAGCGACAGAGTCCTGTATAGACTAACAGACGTGTTGGAGCATAAGCTTTAGTGGGTGAATAACCACTTTGTCCGATGCATGTGAATTTTAATTTTCTGAAAAGTAGGCTAAATTTATTTCTTGTGTTGTCTGTTTTTAGCATAGTTTTATCATATATAAAACAATAAATCATACATTTCGGGAGAAAATTTGTTTGCATTCTCTTCCTAACCTTCCAGGTTGGCTGTTACTAAACAGAATAGTTTGATATCTCATTCATTTGACCATTAAAATATCTGACCCTGGCCCTGACTGGGAAGAGAAATATCACAGAAGTAAAGTGCTTGACTTCCAGAAAGGGAGTCTGACAATTGTATTTGTAGGTCACTATTTATCTGGTCAGTCTAGTGGACAGCAGGGGAATGGCATTTTAAAAAGGTTGGGTGTTCCCAGATAAAAAGGAGCCATGTTCCAAAGAAGTCCCCATCTAAAACTTGGCTTTTAATTCACCATATGCTCTCTTAATCCCAAACATCCTCTTCCTTATCTCTCTTCTCAGCTCCTTTCTTCCTGCATCCTTTCTGCTAAACATGCTCCTTCCCCATCTTTAAATTGCTTCTTAAAACCCAGTTCTTTTGTGAAACCTCATTTAGTTCTTGTGCACAGAGGCCTAAGAGTGATATTGTACCTAGCAATTCTGCAGACTGGAATGGGGAATGGTTAGTGTTCCATCTTCCCTCTCACTCCTGGCTGATCTATCCATGGATGGGCACACTCTTATTCTAAATTAGACAGAGAATAGTTTTAAAATAGTGTGTTTTAAAAAAAAAAAAACCTGCTGAGGATGGGGAGAAAACCATCATGAAGGGAGGAGAATACTACTCTTGTTTGTGGCAGTGAGCAGGTTTGGAAGAGCCCTTCTCAGTGTGGCCTCTTATGTGTGGTATTTGTCAGCCAATATTGTCATTTCTTGGAAGTGTCAGGATTGACGACTAGCAGCCCACCTCACAAAGGAATTACCGATAATTTATCTTTTTAAAGGAAGGTGTTGACTAAAAACAGGGTGGCTGGCTGGGATACAAGAGGGAGGACGACTGTTACGATTACTAATGGTAGTATGAGAGGCAGCTCAAAGATGCACATGACAAAAGCATTTTATTTTTTATCTGTAAACTGGCTTTGGAGTAAGAAATCTACCAACCTGGAAGTTCCACTAACTATATCAAATTATTCTATTGTCTTGGTACCTGCAGTTATGAAGATAAGAAATAGATGAGTGATTAAATGACTAAATTGAAATTAATTCACTGAGTGAATGGGAATATGAAGGATAAGGTTTGTTCAGTGAAGAGAGCCTGCAGTGCAACTCCTATTAACCCACATTGTGCGTAAGACTTGGGAATGACTGTCTAGTGAAAAAATATCTGCTTGGCTCCCTCGTTAGAAAGCCAGCTGAAAAGTATCTGTGAGTGTATAGATACAAGAGATTAAAACACTTTTAACCGGTTGCAGTAATAGCTGGGATGAATTTATACTTTCCAAAAATAGTTTACAATGTTTTCTGCTTGTAAAGTCTAGTGTGGATTTGCTGCCAGTTGACGTTGTTACTAGAAGTGCATTTGCAATAGCTATTTATTTAGCAACGCAGTTGTTGATCCCAACAATATATTTTTCTTCAATTATATTAGAAAAAGACAATGGTCCAGGAAGTATACTTTATTATGGTAGTGTCTAGTGGCCTCAGTCAGAATTTAGGTCACATTATGGTATGTAGTTCTCTATCCCTAATGTTACCCTGAAATTTAGGCTTTGGGGCACTCCTAGACTAACCTGCCTATCACCCCGTTAATGTGCTCTTCCTGGGGTATGGGTCTCCAGGGTAACTAAGGTAACACTTGAAGGACACAGATATAACCTTCCGATAAAGTGATTGACACTGGCAGTTCTTTTTCTAAAACAAAGTATCTTTTATTGACGTAACTAATAATCCTTACTACAGTGTAACCTAGAAATAAAAATCAGACACAAATCCCTTATTACAAGTT